AAAAAAAAAAAAAAAAAAGGAACTGCTGGTGTAGGTGTGTGATTGTGAGCTGGTTCCCAAGGGTTTGTATGTGGCAAAGTTATAGGTCCTTGAGACTTAGTCTCAGATGTGATGATTCAATAGTAGGCAACTTGGCTCTGTACAATCTGCCCCTGATACATCCCTGACCTTCTTGTTCACTGTTCTCATTCTGGGCCTTCAGACAATCAAAAAAGTGGGTTATAGTCTTCTTTCTTAAATCTTCATGGCAAAACGAGTGTTTTGAGGTACATTTCCGCATGCTGAGTGAGATTAGCATTGTTTTGGAAAACAGACTAGGCTCTTTCTGCTCCCCATTGTAGTATTATGTGGGAGGTAGTTTCAGTTCACGTGATATAGAGAATTGATAGTGCTGATAAATGTAAAATTTTCATGTTTTAGAAGGCACCCCAAGTGTTAGAAAAACTCTGCAAATGGTCAACTGCAGACATGATTTTGGTAAATTTTAGATTATTTTTCACAAGCATTGTATTTAAGAGCTTTTAGAAATTATTTTATATTGCAGTTAGTTAAATCGTACTAATACCATTCTACAATATTTTGAACTCTCAAAAAATGCCTCATAGTACATTAATTATATTTGTGATCTAATTTGATTCCTATAGATATTATATGCCATAGTTATTACTCGGCCCTGTTTTACAACAAATTTTACAAACAAAATTTGAGGCCTGTAGAAGTTAAATAACTGTTAAGTTCTTATACCCATCAGGAGGGAGGGTTAGGTGCAGATCCAAACAATGGAATACATTTTGACCACTGTGCTTTACTGCCTCTTAGAGAACTCAAACTTCTTTAAGGGTTAAAATCATAGATCAGATCCCAGGGTGCCTGTGTGGCTCAGTCAGTTCAGTGTCTGACTCTTGATTTCAGCTCAGGTCATGATCTCAGGATCATGAGACTAAGCCCCACATTGGGCTCTGCACTGAGCATGGAGCCTGCTTAAGATTGTCTCTCTCCCTCTTCCTCTGCCCTTCCCTGACACCCCATCATATGCTCTCTCTGTGTCTCAAAAAAAAAAAATCATATCCTGTTTATTTAACTGACTTCGTTTCTTCTGCTATAGCATCTGCGTCATCAGGGTTAAGAAATATCTTAATTGACTTATTTTATTTTTCTAAGCTATTCTCCTCTATTATATGTTATTTCTCACTAACCTACCTGCATGGAGTTTCTTCCATCTCTGAAAATGTAAGTGTTTATTATAGGATTTTAAATCTGTATTTCTCAGTGTCCTAGGATGTTGCTGTATTTTTAACTAGGCATTTTGTAAATAAAATTAAGTTTCAGGTATTCAGAAATATTCTTTTTTTACCCTCAAGTTTTATGTGTCTGACATTTTTATTGATAAAATCAGTTTTTTCTTTATTTCTATCTGTGTGTAATATTTCTTAAAAATTATTTTTAAAACAATCCTGAAAGAATTGGACTGCTGTGGAAAAGCAACACCTCTGGATCAGGGTTTGATTGGAGAACACTGGTTGGAGGGCCATGAACCCAGTCTTTAATAATGCTTCTGCCTCTTATTAGTTGTGTAGCCTTAGTCAAAAATTTTTTTCTCTTTAAGACACACTATATAAAACAAAAAGTTGGACTATGTTATCTTTCTGAGTCTTAGAGCTAAGAGAATGGACCTCTGTGATTCCACAATCATTTTCTGATACAACTCCTGAAAATCGTAAGTTCAATTCCAAATTAGTGCAGAGTACAAAGTGTAGTGCCTAGATCAATAGAGCCATTGAAGAGATTATTTACAAATATAGTCACTGGTTTATAAATATTTCTTTGAGTTCCAACTACTTTTCAAGCACAGCTTTGTACACTAATAATAGAGCAGGAAACAAAGACCCCACCTTTCATGGAGCTTACATTTTTGTTGCAAAAAACAGGCGAAAACATTTATAAATACATTTTAGCAAATACATTTATAACATGTCAGTTGGTAATAAATGTTTTGGAGAGGTGTAAACCCAGGTAAGAAGAATAAGGAGTAAAACCAGGGATTGGGAGGGTAGGAGTGATGTTATTTTCTATAGGGTGATCTGGGAAGGCCTCCTGGAGAAAGTGACATTTATTTTGAGATCTGAAGGCAGTGAGAGAGCAGGCTATGCATTTATCGTGGGAGGAATATGGAAAGAGAAAAGAGAAAGCAGAATGCCCTGGAATGAAGTTTTAATCATGTTTCAAGTTTAAGATGCTCATTAAATATCCAGCTAGAGTTGTAAGTTGGTCCGGGATAGATATTTATGTGGAAGTCATCAATAAGTAGGTGATATTGAAGATGTGATACTAGATGATTACAGCAGGAATGGAGTTAGATAAAAATGACAAGGGAGAGACAGAGAAGTTGGTGACTACCATATTTGGAGACGAGGAACATAAGGAGAAACCAACAAGTAAAACTCTGAAGACATCTGTTGGTAGGAACAGAACCAAGAGAAAGCAAGATCATGGAGGCTCAGTGAAGACATTTTCCAAGTGGAAATGAAAAGGCGGAAAAGAGCGGAGTAAAAAGAAGTCTGAGAATATGTAATTTATTTGTTTTTCCCACAAGATTTGGTACTCTGTGAGTTGGAGCCATCTGGAAATCCCTGAACATGTAAGTGTCAGGAGGTATAACTTAAAAATATAAGGGAAATAGTTGTGAAGTGTAGAATATTGGAGAGTTCTCCTGGTTAAGCCACACATGTGGATACACATGCAGTCACCACATCTGCTAGTCAGTCATCCAGCCTTTATAAACAAAACATGTCTCTTAGAAGACAGGCTTGGTAACATCGAAGAAATTATCTATCAGTTCTTTTTATTACTGTTCCTCTGGCACCTAAAACAGTGCTCAAAAAATATATGTTAAATGAAGAAGTGAACCAGTTGAATGATGGAATAATGATTCTAAATTTTCACTCATAGTCAAGTCTTGGATATATCATACGTCAGGATAGCATTAAGATAAACTAAATGTTATTCAGTATTAACTCAGTGATTACACAAAAACCAACTATAAGTACAGATGGCTTATGTTTCACATCTTATATGTGAGTTAATCAGGCATCCTATGATCATCCCATTTCCCATCAATTATAAATAAGTATCA